AATCGAGAAGATGATCATGTCGATCTTGTAGCAACAGTTAGCCACGAGGCAACAATAGAAAATGGGACAACAGTTAACCAGTAGAAAACACCTTTACCTGAGGTGAGTGACTTGATGGCGAAGCTGGTACAAATCGATAAACAACTGAAGTGCAGTGAAGAGGATCGACAATTGCTAAAAAAAGAAATCAGATATAATAAGCACGAGAGCCTGGATCACTGCTTCAATCTGGCGAAGGCAACTGAAGAGAGGCTACAACAAATGTCAGACAAATTAGAGGCTACAGACAAGGTGAGAGAGAAGAACATCAAAAAAGACATGCAAGAAATGAAGCAACGGTTTGACGCTGTGAACAGCAAGTTAGGGAGTCTGGAGACGAGAATGGACACAATGAGCAGAGACCAGGCTGAGAGCTCATGTGCCATACAGGCCAAACTGGATGCCATTTTGAGAAATTCTACATCACAAGACAAGCCGGTAACAAATCGAACGCAAGGAAACAGAGACGATTTCGTGGAACCACAACGGAAAAAACGGGAGTCAACACCGTTACCGTTACCCCGGGGGCAGCGATTATAGGACCAGGGGTCGCAAAGACAATTATGTAGAGTGGAACCTCAAATACGACAAATGGTCCGGGGGATTTCACAACAAGCAACAATGTGGGACCTGATGCCATGACGTGGGCTAGCACCTGGGAGATGATGAATAGGACATTGGAAGCGTTCGCTACGAGGAACACGGACTCGAGTGAGAGAGGAGGTGGCAAATCCAGAAAAACCTTCAAGAAGCCAAAAGAATTTAAGGACGACTCAGACGGATTCATCAACACTTGGGTAGAAGACATGAGACTACATTTGGAACAAGACAACTTGAACGACAAGAGACAGGCGTGCACAGCGATACTCAGCAATTTAGAAGGCACGGCGTTAAAATGTGTAGTTGCAAAGAAGGAAGAGGAACGTGATACTGCAGACAAAATCTTCGAGATATTATTGAACCGATTCGGATCAGGAATGAAGGATCACCAGGCTATGATGAGATTCGAAAAGAGAAGACATAGGGCGATGAATCAATCGATCGGTTCCTGGATGATCTTGAGAGCTTGAGAAGACGGAGTGATCTCGAAGAATCAACAAATAGAAGGAACTTCAGCATCGCCTCGAAATTTATCGATGGGGTTAAATGTGACGACTTGAGAACAATGTTTGCAACATATTATTTACTATCGAAGGACAATGCACCGACTCCGGAAGAGATGAGGCAAAAATCAAGGGATTACATGTTGATGAAACCAAAGAAGTACTCGTACCCAGATAATAGGAACATGCAAGGGGGAAGTCAACCACAGATGTCATCATGGTACAAGCCTAGAGATAATATGGACAAACGCAGGTCATGCGCAAATTGCGGGTCAGCGGATCATCATGTGGCGGATTGCACGACGTACCAGCAAGGCATGAAGAGTCTGGGATATGCGCCCGATGAGGAAGATATGAGCCAGACGGGAAAACATGAGTTCTACAGCGGCCTGATCATCAAGATAGGTGCGAGATGCTTCTTCTTCAATCAAGAGGGCCAGTTTAGGATGGATTGTCCGTTGTTTTGGGAAGCAGTGAAGAACCAAAGTCGCCCCAAACAAAAGCTGGCGCTGGCGGCGGTACAGAACACAAGGAACAGGCAAGCCGAGTTTGACACAAAAAAACACGGAGGCACCGAGTGCGGAACTACCGACAAAAACGGTAAAGGCTGTAGTGCAATTCAACAATGCCATAGAAGCCGAAAACAAGAATCCTCTAGAAATAAACTATGAAAAGGCAGCGGCGCAGGCTATCAACAAAATGAAACAAGAACTAGCGATGAAAGTGATTGAGCAACGACTAAAGCAGGAAATCGAAAGACAGAAGTTGAATGAGTCGTTAAGTATGTCGATGCCGATGCCAGAAGCCGAAGTGGGAGCGACAAGGGGTGGAAATTGCAATACTCTAAAAATGGTGACGGGTAAGCCATTCGGCATAAGAAAGATTGGAGCCAGAATAATGTCAATAATCACTGTGGGCGGCCATGAAGTAACGAGAAACCTGAGTGAACCCAGTGACCAGCCAATAATGCACATCGATGTGTACCCAGGTTACTTAAGTGCAATAAGTCCGCAGACAACTTCTAGAGCCTTGAGGGCACTACTCACAAGAGGTGGCAGCAAGTCAGTCCTCGTCGAGAATAGGTACACGGAAGCCTATGGTCCGCATGAGGTGATGTTAAACATAGATGGGATAAACATCTACACAAAAACTATGATAACATGTGACGAAGACTTAGCGGGACAGATCGAGGTGGGCAGGGAAGAACTAAAAGTTAGATCGATTGGACGCTGCGCCATGTTGGAAGAGGATGCAATGCACATCGGGACGTGCTTGACATAAGTGGCAAGAAGACTCAGTTACGCGGGTTACTTAATACGGGAGCAGTTTTGAGCGTTATACCAATTGAAACTTGGGAGCGAATGAGTTTCGACAAAGATGATTTGATAGACTCAAGAATACGGCTGTCAGCTGCAAACAAAGGGGCGCTGCGGGTACTAGGCAGAACACCAATAATAGCCCTAAATCTAGGGGAACGCAACCTGTGGATGAGCTTTCTTGTGGTGGAGAACCTAGATGAGTCTGACCAATTCATTTTAGGCAGATACTTCATCAGTAATTTCGACGTAATGATTGATCTGAACAATGCCATGTTCAGGATACGGAACCCGGATAGGAAGTACGTAATTGAACCGGTAAATCTGATAATGGCAAATGAGAATAAAGCGCCGGTATTCTTGAGTAGGAGGGTAAGGCTGAAAGCGAACGAAGCGGCAATTGTAAGCTTGCGGATAAAAAATTATAAAGAACTAAGTGGTAACAAGCAAGTATGTATAGCCCCAAATCCAAACAGTCAAAGTGCTGCTGTTTTAGGAAGATCTTTCTCGATAAACAAGAGCCGCCTCTGCGTCAGTGTTTTGTTGAAAACTCTTGACATACCCATCACAATCCAGAGGGGAAGGAAGCTGGGATATGCTTTACCCGTGAAAACTTGATATGAAATGACTGAAAATGTAAAAGAGAATGAAGTACTTGAATGTCCCAATCATAGGGACAAGATTTGTATCTTGAGACGATTGAAGAAAATAAAAGATTCATCAGGTCTTGTGAAGTCACTTAAGTCAGAGACAGACGATGGACTTTCGAGCTGTTCGAATTTCCCAGAAAGACCCACACTAGAGGAAATGGAAATGGATAAACCAGTTTTACATGAAATAGAGCACTTGAGGGGCAAGGTAACGGATGAACAGCTCGAAGCCATCAAAAATGTACTAGAGAGGAATGAGGCAGATATTGGATGTTGTAATTTTGTTGAAAATGAAAATGAGCTTGAAGAGACGAGGGTGCCGCATAGGGGGGGGGGGGGGGCAAGGCGCATGACCCCACACAAATCGGATGCATGTAGAAAAGAGATAGAGACCTTACTAGACTATGATATGATAGAACCATCCAAACCAACGTGGGCGTGTGGAGTAGTGATGGCTAAAAAAAGAAGGGCGACCAATTAAGGTTTTGCTGCGACTTTCGGTATCTGAACTCCGTCACGGTGAAGGATGCCTATCCCATACCTAGAATAGATGAGAGCCTCTCGAAGTTGGGGGACGCAAAATTTTTACGACTCTTGATTTAGGATCAGTTTTTTGGCAGGTACCACTGAGAAAGCAGGACAGGGACAAGACAGGGCTTGCCTGGGGCTGTTTCAATGGAAAAGGATGCCTTTTGGTCTTTGCAACGCCACGGCCACATTTCAACGGTTGATGGCACACGCATTGATCGGTGTAACAAAGAAATACGGCAATCTGGTAATATGCTACGTGGATGACGTGGTAATTGCGACGCCGACACTAGAGGATCATATCGAACGACTGGACGAGGTGTTCGCCTGCATGAAGAGATCTGGACTTAAATGCAAACCATCAAAGTGTGAAATACTCAAGGACTCGATAAAATACCTGGGGAGAATAGTGGATAGACATGGCATCAGACCAGACCCAGATGCAGTAGAAGCGTACCTGACGTGAAAATTGCCAAAAAGGGAACATCAATTGATGAGCTTCCCGGGTTTTGCGAACTACTACAGGGAGTTCCTCAAGGGCTATGCGGACAAAGTGTACCCGATGCAACAACTGATGAGGCACAAAGGCAAGAAGTTCACGTGGAGTAACGCGGCGGAAGAATCATTCCAGAGAATAAAGGAGGAGTTGTGCGAAGCACCGGTGCTAGGGATGCCAACGGAAAATGAAATGTACGTGCTGGACACGGATGCATCGGTAGTAGCGATTTCTGGCATTCTCCGTCAATAGCAGGAGTGGATTGGGAAGACAGTCTTGAGACCAATAGCATACGGGAGTAAAGTCTTGAGTGATACGGAGATGAATTACGGGGCGTCCAATGCAGAGATGTTCGCGGTGGTTACCTTTGTCGAGAAAAACAGGGCATACCTAGGCAGCGAGCCGTTCAAGTTACGAGTCGACAACAGGGCACTCAGCTGGTTGAAAACGTACTCAATGGATCAAAGCTACATAGGGAGATGGATAGTTCACCTGGATGGATACAACATGATAATTGAGCATAGGACGAGAGAAAAACATCAAAATGCCGACAGCTTGAGTAAGAAGACGGAGTTCTACGAGAGACAGGAACAGAGAGAGGCGGATAGGCCAGAAATCAAAGATGGCTTCTCCTTCATGGATAAGGAAACGTATGATAGCCTTCCACTCACGAGATGGCTCGACAAGTTGGCAAACCCATTGAGGATCACCCCGAACTACCAAAGGAACTTCCAGAGAAAACAATCTTGAAAAAGACCCGAGGGATGCCAACGGGGATAATGCTCAAGTCAAAAATTGTGAGGGAGACGCTCAAGGCAAAAGGCTACGATCTCAACCAAGTAGAAACGGGAGATGCACAGAAGACTCGATGAGATTACTCGAGAAGCTGGCAGACGATAAACCTGTGGTACAAGATAAGGGTGCAGAAGAACCAGAGGTCACGAAATTGAGAAGAAATGAGGCGGATGGTAGAGAGGACTCCTCGAAAGAAAGGAAACCCGATGGAAGAGAAGTCGTGCAGTCATTGGTTGAGAGGATCCCTGAGGACATACTTGAGAGGACTATGGTCAGGAAGAAGAAGGTAGCATTCAAGGAGGAGGCTGAGCACCTGGGACTGGGTCAAGAGTCCGGGGAGAGGGACAGTGCAGAGGAAGATGCTGAAGAAGAAAATTTGTCCGGGGAGTGTGAAGAATGGGATGAAGACTCAGAGAAAAGCAACGATGATCAAGATAGTCTATGCATGATACGATACTGGCAGAAGAGAAGATGAGGCACCGAGATGGGGAACTACAAACGGAGGTGTTATTCAGATCGCACGATCAAATGGGGCATCAGGGGATAGACAAAGTGCAACAGAGAATACTACACAGGTTTGATTGGCCGGGATTAAGAAAAGCCTGCGAGAGATGGGTGAACGCATGTCTGGCATGTCTACAAGTGAAAGACCCACGGAAGATGAAGTTCCCGCTCAAGTCTGTCGAGAGCCGGGAATTCAACGAGGTTGTGCAGATAGACCATCAGAAGATCTGCATGACAGAGTTGGGATATAACCAGATACTGGTCATAATAGACCACTTCACAAAGTTGGCGGAAGCAGTGCCCTGTCAATCAGCCTCAGCGGAGGAGACTTGTGACCACTTGATAACACATTGGATATCACGATATGGTTGTCTGATGACATTTCAGTCGGACAACGGGAAGGCCTTCGTGGGTGACCTGACAAAAGAATTGATTAAGAGGTCACACATTGCTCAAGCGCATTCGACGACTTACCATCCTCAGACTAACGGGTTAGTGGAGAGACAGAACAGGACGTTGGTGAACATGCTGAGGGTATATGATTCGAGATACATAACAGACTAGGATACCGCAAGTGGTGGGGGCGTACAACAGCACGCAACACTCGACGACAGCAATCAGCCCCTTCATGAAGTTAACGGGCAGGGAGAGAGCAATGCCCCTAACGTTCTTTCACCCAGAACACGAAGGGAAAAAGACGTCGCCTTAAGCTTATGTGAAGGAAGCGGTCAAGAGACAACAGGAACTAAACGTGCTGTGCAGGAGGAACACGGCGCAAGCGCAAATGAGGCAGCGGAAGAGATATGACAGAAAGATAATTCAGGCTAAACCGCATGCAGTGGGCCAATACTTCTGGGTGTTCCAGAATGTCATACCTCCCAACGGGACGAAAAAACTACTCAAGAAGTGGAGAGGACCATTCATGATCACGGAAGTACACCAGCAGGGACGGTTCTACCGTTTGAGTACGCGGCGAGCAGCGCAATATGAAAACCTGAAGCCCCATGTACCATCTCCGGAGGACTGGTGCGTACCGCAGAATACGGAGGGAATAGAGTACCTGATGGTAGAGCCAGCATGCGAAGTGAACGAAAAAGGCACCAGGGAAAAGAATGATGGCAACGAGGACGTGAGCATGGACGATAATGAAAAAATAGAAGCAGGCTCAGATGCGGAATCCTTTGCGGAGGAAGACTGGAACGACCCGGAGCAGGATGAGGTGCCAAAGAGGACGGAACCAGATTTGCCGATAACAGCAGTAACTAGGAGTGGTAATCGCAAACGGACAGGCATGAGGTACAATAGGTACGGGGATGACTTCTTGATTGACTAGATACAGTCTGATGAATTAAGCCAAGAGTTACTGAGTGTGGGCGAATTGGTGGCAGAGAATGAATGGCAAATCACCAACGACAACGAACATTACCCGCAGGCAGACTACTCCACACCAGAACAAGAAACAGATCTGGAGCAGAGCGAGATAGAAAGGAGGGAAAACACAAACTTACCCGCACCAAAAATTTGATAATAAAGAAACTCAGAGAAGTGAGAGAGACCAGCGGGCTGGAACTGGACGAGGAAGAGGCCGAGCCTACCATAGGACGAAATTTCAAAACAAAATTTGAAATAACCAATGATTACTCGGAAAGCATCTTGATAACGGACAGCGACTTCATTTTGTCAGACAGGACTAGCGCGATCTGTATAACGGCGGACATGAACTTCAAATCGAGGCTAGAGACAGACTTCAAGGGAGAATATCAGAACGTGGAGTTTCTATTTAGACAGAGACCGGGCTGGGAGGAATGGCTGCGCTTCCCCCATCAGTTTCACAAGTCCCAGGCAAATACCTGTGCTTTCTGGTAACGAGGGTCAATGAAAGTAATACGATAAATCCTGAGCACGTGATGTTGGCGCTAACGGGTCTGAGAGAATTCTTGGTTGAAAGAGGGAAAGTGGAGGTCTCGATGCCTGATTATGACCCAAACAGGGGTAAGTTGAGCCCAAGGGAGTTATATGCCATCCTACACGTGGTCTTCGCAGAAACAGAGATAATGGTACACCTACACAGAAAATACTACTTGAGTATCGCCTGAGCTACGAGCGGACATTGGAGGTATCGAGTTAAGGGTACATGGGGATCTCGAGTAAGGTTACATGGGGATCTCGAAGCAGGTAGATGGATTTTAACGCAATTGCCATGACAATTAAAATTTAAAGAGTTGACGATGCTAAAACACTAAATAAAACCGCATGCTCTTAAAAATTGCAATTAAACTATTTTAGTGAAACAAATGGAGGGATAATGTTTTAACCACAATAATGAGGGGATTTAGATTGGGAGCAGAACATCTTAGTATAAAATGGATTTTATTTTTAGATTGATTTGTAAAATTGAGTTGACGACCTAGTCGCACTCATTTGGAAGGAAAAAGAAGATCCTGAACGAGTTCACGATAAGCAGCGTTTGAAGGGAAATTTTTCTCAAATCTCAAGTTGGTTGGTAAGGTAATTCTCAAGTTGGTTCACAAGGTAATTCTCGATTTGGTTGACACGTGAGATCATCTAAAGATTGTGACAATGGCAGATCGCTTTTTGGAAATCTATGCCTGCAGCGCTCAAGAGACCTACGCTCGATGAACTGTACAAACGCTTGAGGGATCTGGACTACACTCAAGTCGATGAGAGGATGGCGGTGATGTTCAAAGCCATCCTACAGTTAGAGGCGCAGGGTGAATGCAGGGAATCAGCGACAGAAGCTGGTTTGATGGTTGGCTACACGACGGAAGGGATATCCAATCAAGAACAGACCAAATGTTTGTCCTGGAATGTGGATGGAGGCGTGAGGGGGTTCGACTTGGCGAGGAATCCTGGCTTGAGTAACAACACAGAATATGGTGCGGGAGAATTTCCACTCCCCACCAGACCGCCATGATACGGTCTCAACAGACAGAGGAGGCATACCCGGACCTCATCAGCCTGAAGAGGGAACTAGAGAGGGCACAGAGGGAGAAGGACAAGGCGAACCTTGACAGGGATGGCGCGAAGCTTGAGAGGGACCAGGCAAATCTGGAGAGAGATCAGGCGATCCTCGAGAGAGATCAGGCGTGGAGTGATCTCAACATGATCAAGGCGGAGTACCTGCAAGAACAGAGGGTCCGCGAGAACGAGGCGAACTGCGAGCAGCTGAAGTCGGAAAAGGTGACGCTCCAGAGAAGACAGCGAGAGCTCGCGAGACAGAAGGAAAAGAGGACACGGACAAGAGAGCAAGGCGCCACAGCATCGAGACTTGAATCGCGATTGAAGGTGGATGAGGCTCCTAGGCCCAGTGGCCTGTTCAACTTAGACCGGACGGCCCAGGAGCACATGAATGAGGGCCTGGAGGTGTGGATACCACCCGAACCGTTACCCTCTGTGCACAGTCTGGATGCGCAATCGGTGCGACCATTGATGGAGATCAACCTCCCAGGGTATACCCCTAATTCAACCACAAGCAGTAGCCAAGCTGGGTCGGGTTCATCGCGTCTCAAGATACTGCAAGAGAGGGAAGAGAGGTTACAGTCGAGAGCCTGTGAGGATTCAGTGAAAGAAGGGCGACCTCCTACTTGGAGGGACCATCCAGTTAGGAGCGTGACAATCGCGAGCTATAAGAAAAATAAGGATGGCGCATACCACAGGCACAACCGGATGTACTGGACGGCAGCGCAGCGGGCCAGGAGGGACTGTTTTCATGACGCGGCCTGGGCTGAATATTTCACTCAAGCCAGGATACCGGATGGTTCAGTTCACCTGATCATAGGGGACAGCTTGATACGGGTGCTGACGCGGATCCAGTCACACTGGCAGGTTGGGGTCTTGAGTTTTTCTGGAGCTGTGACACCGCAGAAGTTGGCGTCCCTGGATATGGTGAAGATGTACACGGTCACTCTGATGATGGGGACCAATGATGTGTCTAGAGGAGAGTCAAGGAAGGTGATGAGGTTGCACGAGAAGATGAGTTGTATCCTTCAAGAGCTGAGGATTTGGTTTCATCCCGCAATACTCACCATCTGTACGGTCCCATACAACATGATGTTTGACCAGCATGCGATGGAAATGAATGAGAAGGTGCGAAATATCAATGAAGAAATCAGGCAGATTCAGCAGAGAAGCGTGCTCCCCGTGAGGTTGCTGGATGTGGCCGACCTGATGGAACACTCCCTCCCGCGCGATGCATCCTCGGATGGCATCCACTTCGACACGCCCAAGGGAACTGAGTGGCTTAATGGTGTCTTCCAGAGACACATAAACCAGCTAGAGTCGGACCTGCTAGAAATGGCCCAGTTCACCTTGGGTCCACCCCCGATCCCTCCTATCTATGCCCCTAGACCCCTATCCAGCCGTCTGGGAGGGAGAGCTGGTTCGAGAGATAATTCAAGGAGTAGCCGGACCAGGCAACCAGGGTGCACACCGATGGAGGCTGAGGAGGCGGAGTCTTCCACTCCCCAGAGTTCGCTGGTTTCATCGGTAGTGGTGGTGGACGACAAGAAGGTGGAGAGACCAGCAGAGGCGAACAAGACGCGATATTCGGAGAGAGTAAAAGAGTTGGACCTGGAGGATTTGGAGTGCAGACAGGAGTTAGCGGAGGTCTTGGGACTCAAGGATATGCCACACGAGGAATTGAGTCGACACCATTGTGTGGATTGGTTAAAAGCCCATGAAGCGCACTTCTCGAGAGCAAAGACAATGGAGGCAGCCGACTTGACCGGGATCCCGCTGGAGTCGGTGATGGGACCAATAAACTACAGACCACGCAAGCAGCTGGGAAGTCCGGGACTTATAGTGGAAACTCCCAAGCACCGAACAAGTGCAGCCCGAATCAGGGTGGCAACTCGCGCACAATTAGGAGTGGTGGAGAAGCTGCTTGAGCCGGGGGACATGGGGCTCCCGGATGCCGCGTACGAGGGTTCTAGGTTAGCCGATGATCCTAGA